AAGCCTTCTTGTCTTTCCTCTCTGGGCATGACAAAGAAACAGGATGTTGGTATGTGGCTATTAATAAACTTTGTGTGTCTGCAGAAGAAAACGTTCAGTGCAAGTTGTGCTTATGCCTGCAAGAATTTAGGTGTCTTTGCTGGTGCAGATAAGCCTGTGAATAATTGTGCCTCTCAGCAGACAACCTATGTGATTTCCTCCATTTTTATTGTGGCTTGAACATTTGTGATATTTTGTTGATTGTGCAGGAAATACAATGTTGTCATGGCAGGATTTTGTCTAGGTGACGTTTTTGTGTGTGTTAATTATAAAAACAAGTTTCCATTTCAATAAGTGGGCTCAAGGGCTAATAATCACCAAGGTTTCTTAAAATAGCCTCCCAAAAGTGGGTCATTTTTATAGTCTTCTTACTGCTTATTGAGACCCAGAGGGATGAGCTGGTAGCCCTGTGTTAACGCAACTGTGGCTGCCAAGGTACTGACTGCAGCACTAGATACAGACAATGGCTGAGATGCATGTTATTCAGATAAATGGAAACAGTACATGGTTTTACAGGTTAAGGGTAAGTAGTAAATGTGGTATCCGTCAGATGTTGCTGGGCTCCAACTCCCATCAGACCCCTCCAGCATAGCCAATGTTTTGATATTTTTGTTGTCTTGCTCCATCCAGCAAATGACAATAATCATTTTATCAGTACATCCAGAAACTTGCACTCTGCAACTCAGTTTTCTAAAACAGCAACAGCAATGCATGCAGAAAGAAGCATGGGGGGAGGGAATGCATTCTGTTAGGGAAAGTGGCAAAACTATATATGAACATGCATATGTTAGTGAAAATGTGCAGACACATGTATGACTTTCTCGTGTAGATTTATATATACAATGGTGAAAACTAAATTTAAGACCAGAAACAAATTGAGGAACTGGGGGAAACAAAACTAAAAGCTTCTTCTGTTTCAAGTAATAACAAAAGGCTTACTTCTGTTGCAAAAAGAAACAAACTTGTGATTAGTTGTGACCTCAAGATACCATGGTCACTCATGAATAAAATCCCATATGTCTCCACAAAATGAGCTGAGAGCAGGTCCAGCCCAAGACATTTTGACACCTGAGCTGAACCACAAAATGGTGCCCTTCCTGCTAGGGGAAAAAGGGTGAGCGAAGATCTACATTAGGAATGGAGTAGCATGATATCACAAACCTGAAGTCCAGCAGCAGCCAGGATAGCTGCAGTC